TAATCTGGACTGGGCTGGGGCAATGTTTTCCAGAAGGCTGCATATACGCTAAACCCACGGGCCACCTGCAGCCCGCCAAGGACATTTATCCGGCCCGCCGGGTGTTTTTGCCCCATTTGTTTTTTACTTCAAAATAAGATATGTGCAGTGTGCATAGGAATTTGTTCATAGTTTTTTTTTTAAGTATAGTCTGGCCCGCCAACGGGTCTGAGGGACAGTGAACTGGCCCCCTGTTTAAAAAGTTTGAGGGCCCCTGGGCTAGGGGCTCTCCTCTCTTTGTCCCAGCCCCTCTTCCTCACTGCTGATGGGTCAGCTTCCCCAGAGCCTTAGGGTGGGCTTAAGTCAGGTTTCGCTCTTGAACTGTAAAAGGAGAAGGCTGCCCTGACCTGATTCAGGTGTAATTATGGTCCCGTGTACATTGCGGACCACACATGGAAGAAGATACTTGTTGCCTGGGAGTCCACAGATTACCCGAGCCCTAGACTTCTCTCAGCAGGCAAAGCTCAGGATCGTCGTTTCAGGCTTCATCCAGCTTCGGTGGCTCCAGACATCGAGCTTCCCTGGAGACTTTCAAAGTATGTTTCGCATGTTCCCCCTTTTCATCAGAATTCTGCATTTGCATTTTTGACCAAAATGATGGGTCATGGTTGCCAGGCACCACGCTGCTCTTCTGGTAGACTTAGGACCCTGCTACGTGGACCATAGAGATCCTGTGCCTGGCTGGGTACCAGAAATACAAATTGTATCATTTATTTATATGCTTAAACACCTAAGACTCCATACTGCGAGGAATGACAGCCTATCTGTTGTTGAGGATGTGGAGGATGACCTGGGTAGTAAGTTCTGTTTGATGACACCTCTGAACTGTGCATGGAGCCTCCTCGTCTCATCCTTCCAAGCTAGAAAACACGATTTTCTGCAGCACTTTTCCATCTTTCCTTTTAAAAATCCCTTCACAAATTCATCACATCAACAAGAGCTCGCAGATGAACCCAATTACATACCAGCTTTTCTACTCTGCTTTAAGCTGTGCTAAAAAATAAATGCAGAAACTTTCAGTGAATTGGTGGTCTTGAGGCTACTCAATTGTTTTAACCATAAGTAGATGACTGGTTAACTCAACTGATTTTAATTACTTTTGGAAGTGATTGATTAGAGCAACGGTTCTCAACGCGGCCCCTTTGGGGGTCAAACGACCCTTTCACAGGGGTCGCCCACTTCATCACAGTAGCAAAATGACAGTGATGAAGTAGCAATGAAAATGATTTTATGGTTGGGGGTCACCACCCCATGAGGAACTGTATTAAAGGGTTGTGGCATTAGGAAGGTTGAGAACCACTGGATTCGAGTAAAATAATTGAAAGGCCAAAAAAACCCCACACAACCAAAAAAAACCCCAAACCAACCTCGCTGCCATCGAGTTGGCACAGCTGAGACTGTCACTTTTTACAGGAGTAGAAAGCCTCATTTGCAAGGAGTAGAAAGCTTCATCTTTCTCCCACAGAGAGGATGGCAGTTTCAAACTGCTGACCCTTCGGGTAGTAGTCCGACACATAATCACTATGCCACCAGGGCTCCTGTGAATGATTGTTGTTGCAGTTGTGAATTGTCATGAAGTCGGCTCTAACCCATGGCGACCCTGTGAACAACAGTGGATGTGAGTACTGTTTATTAGCAGCAATCTGAAGCCTTCTAAGCACCACACTTACTCAGACATGAATATGGGGCCAATGGTTGGACCTTGACGTCTAGCCTAAAGGTTGCTGGTTGGAAACTGCCCAGTGGTTTTATAGAAGAAAGCCCTGCAAGGGGGGTCTGCTTCCAGAAGATGGTTGGTTTTGTTGGATGCCCTTGAGTCAAAGTCAGACACGTAGCCACCTCACTTAAACAATTTTTTAAAGAAATTTCAAACCTAGTGCCACCAAGTCAATTCAGATTCCTGGCAGCCCCATTTGCTCCACGCAGTTGTCATGTTAAATTAGAGCCAAGAAAGCCCCATAGAGTAGAGTTCTGGGCTGTCACATAGGTTTTGTTGGTATTGTCTTTTGGGATATTTGGCTCTTTTAGTTTAACTGGCACTTTTGAATGTTCATGATACACTAGGCCAGTGGTTCTCACCTTCCTAATGCCGCAACCCTTTCATACCGTTCCTCATGTGGTGGTGATCCCCAACCATAAAATTATTTTCATTGCTACTTCATTACTGTCATTTTGCTACTGTTATGAATTGGATGACCCTTATGAAATCAACCCCCAAAGGGGTCATGACCCACAGGTTGAGAACTGCTGCACTAGGCACTGTGCTTAGTGGTGTATATACATACTATATGTGACTTAGTCCTGATGACAAACCCAGCAGAATTCAAGCCAAGAAGTGGTAGATTTGGACACTGAGCAGCTTGATTCTAGAACCCATGATCTCTGCCAGTTTTAGCATGCAGCGAGGGCTGTCAACAATAGGTATGTTTTTGGTTGTGCTTTGGCCTCTTGAAACAGATTTTGTTTCCATTGTGTAGTCAGGGGTCTTCAAACTTTTTAAACAGGGGGCCAGTTCACTGTCCCTCAGACCCATTGGAGGGCTGGACTATACTTTAAAAAAAACCCAACTATGAACAAATTCCTATGCACACTGCACATATCTTATTTTGAAGTAAAGAAACAAACGGGGCAAAAACACCCGGCAGGCTGGATAAATGTCTTCGGTGGGCCGCATGTGGCCCATGGGCCGTAGAGGATGCCTGGACTGTGGATGAACACCAGGACATTTGACAGCCAAGCTCTCAAAGTCATTGGCGTTGTGTGGAGTGAGTTGTTGTAAGGAAATAGAATATACATTCTAATGGATAAATGCTGTAAGTACATTCTTTGAAAGGTGCATCATGTGTGGGCTGCAGAAGACAGATGGTGCATCACACCTGCTGTCTGGGTGATCTATTGCAGCTTTAACAGAAATAGCCTTGACAAACAGAAATGTATCCCCTCACACTTTAGGAGGCTACCTGTCCATCCTCAGGGCACTGGCTCAAGGGGAAGGGAAGGTGTTCTCTCTGTGTTGGCTGGGGAGGGGAAGACCTGGGTCTCTCTGCATCTTCCGGTCCTTGGCTCCTTGGTGATGTTCATGCGGCATGGCATCTCTCTTCCCCCACCTCTGCTTGCTTAATCCACTCCTAGACCTCAGAAGAGCTAGCCTCAAAGCACATCCCACATCGACACTATCTCATGAACACAACAAAGAAAACCTATTCCCAAATGGGTCTGTAACCACAGGAAGATTAAAAATAACAAACTCCCAGTGCCATCTAGTCAATTCTGGCTTGTCACAACCCTGTAGGACATGGTAGAACTGTCCCATCGGGTTTCCAAGGCTGTGAATCTGTATGGAAACAGCCGGCCACATTGTTCTCCCACCTAACAGGTGGTGAGTTCAAACCACTGACCTCTTGGATGGCAGATGAGCACTTAACCACCGTGCCACCAGGCTCCTCCAGCCAAAGGTATAAGGGTTAGGATTTACAACACGTATCTTGCCAGGACGCAATTGAATCCATAATATCTGCCTTCAAAGGTTTTAAGAACTAGCATATGAAAATGAGATCACATGTCCCCCTCTATGCCTTCAGGGGGCATCATGAGATCATGCACAATTATGGGGAGGTAGGTTTCAAGACTGCGTGATAATTTCAGCTGTCCAGAGTTGCTTAATATGTTAGCAGAGACTAAGAGTCACAGATGTCAATGAATTAATCCCTATATAGGAGGGAGATGGTACTAAAGCCACTTTCCGCTCAAAGATCACATACCTAGTGGGCTTATTTTATACAAAGAGATGTGTTCTGCAAAGGGTGGTTGTAAGGGAAATTTGTACTGTGGAGGGGACGTGACATATAATTGTAAGTGAAACATAAGTATACTGCTGACTTTTATAGTCAAAATGGAGAGACACCACTCTAGAAGAGACTGTAGAATGTTCCAGAAACATTCACAAGAAAAAAATCCTATGAACATTTTTTTTCAATTTTATTCATAAAAGATCATTTTGGCTGGAGCTATAATCACACTCCAAAAAATCAGTGCTAAAATTACATTTCCCAGGATCTAAGTTTTGCCTAAAAGTAGCCCTGGTGGCACAGCCGGTGATGCGTTGGGTTGCTAACTGCAAGATCAGCAGTTCGAAACCACCAGTGGCTCCAAGGGGAAAGACGAGGCTTTCTACTCCTGTAAAGAGTTACAATCCCGGAAACCCATGGGGGCATGTCTACCCTGTCCTGTAGTCACTGTGAGTCAGAAGTAACGCGATGGCAGGGAGGTTCTTGGTGGCTGTGTGTTTTTTGAGACGTTTTTCCAAAGGAGGGTTGCTGGCACAGCAAGGGAGTGCTCATCTGACCGGTTCTCTGTTCACAAGCACCCGGTGGCTTTTGGGGAGAGAGCTCTGGTTATGTTCTCTCACAGTGATTACAGCTCAGAAAAACCCCGTGAGGCAGTTGTTCTGGGTCACATGGGTTGAAATCAACACCACAGCACACAACACATTTTTGTTTCTGGTTTCCTAAGCATATCTCTCAAGTCATTTCTCTTTGGAAGCCCTAAGCAGGACAAGGCTAATTGTTTGGGGCAATTAGCATATTGTATGGAAATGGGAAGCATTTTGTTTCGAGGGACCCACATGTGCCAAATAATTGGTTATCTAGTTAGCACACTAAAACGTGTGTGTATTTTTAGTGTGGTCAATTTACTTGAATATCTGTGTGTGTGTATATATATATATATATATCCGCCATCTCAGCATTTCTGCCGTGTCCATCTCTGTGACCGTAAGCATCCTCAGTGCCCTGCGTAGCCATCATCACTGTCTCCACGTTTCTCCATCACCTTTAACAGAAATTCAGTGCCCCCTGAATAAACGACCCTCTCATTTTCTCCCCTCCTACTCCTGGCAGCCACGATTGCCGTACATGTGTCGATTCTAGCTATTTCATGGGTGTGGGGGTCCGGGAATCTGTGCCCTTCTCTAGCCGAGCACCGTGTCTTAAAGACCCTCCCATGTCGTTAGGCCTCCACCTCTCTTTAGGGCTGAGTCACAGCCGTTGCATGTATGGACCACGTCGTGCTGACCCATCCATCTGCTGATGGAGACCGAGGCTGCTGTGAATAGTGAGGCGTGACCACCGGTGTGTACGTCTTTGTGTTCTTGCCTTCAGTTCTCTTGGGCATTGCTGTATCGTTTTTTTGTTTCTGTTTTTTATCACAATAAAAATCACAGGGCACCTAGGCTATCGACTTGACATCGGGGACCATACGTGGACTCGGTGTCCCACTCGTTGGGGTTGCGCGTGTCTCTCCATACTTTGCTTTCTCCTTAAATGTACATTGCCACTGAGTGGTCATGACTTAAGGGGGCTGATGTCTGTGTTGGTCGGTCACTGGAGAAGGAAGGAGGCTTGGGATGGAGGTGAGAACGAGGCTCTTGAGACGGAAAGAATGCTAAGTTCTAGAAGGAGGAATTTGCGGGCAGACCTGAGAGTTGGCCTCATGAGTGGGCTGGGTTGGGGAACTTCACTGGCAGGTGCGAGAGTGTGAGCCGGACATGACTTCCTGTGCAGCTGGTCCCCTGCAGACAGTTCACTTTTCCTTCTGTTTCCCTTGGAATCAGTGCTTCCCCTCCTTCCCTCATCACTCATCCACTAGAGTGATAAGGAGCCCCCAAAACAAAGCCAACTCACTGCCATTCGGTCCATCCTGACTCATCACTGCTCTACAGGACAGAGTAGGACTGTGCCCGTGGGTTTCCAAGACTGTACATCTTTCTGGGAGTAGAAGACCTCATCTTTCTTCCTGGGAGAGGCTGGCGATTTCGAACTGCTGACCCAGCAGATAGCAGCCCAACTCATAATCCACTGCACCACTGGGGCTCCTAGAAATGTCTTAGCTACAGTAAAGCAGAGGTGTCCCTTGTAGGTAGGAAACCTCCCCATGCCGGAAAAGCTGCTCTGTAAAAGAAAGGGGGTGGCCCAGATGGCTCTGAGGCCCACCCGTCTCTACCATCTCCACCTCAAGGTGGGGAGGCGAGCATCTCCGCTAGAGAGTCCAACAGTGGACAGCCTTCCTGATTCTTTGGACTGGTCTCTCTCTCTGCCATTCCATCCGTCTACCTGCACCCTTCCTATCCTGGCACTTCGTCCTCCATCGTGGCCAAAAGAACGTTCAAATCCCTTTTTGACTTCCTGCCGGTATTGGAGGTCAATCTCTTCTTGGGCATATGCCATCAAGTTGAAATTTATAAATGTATTGATTCATTTGCCAATAAATGTTATATTTCATCGCCCCTCCACCCAGGGGCTTTTATATTGATCTCTTCAAAATGGTCGATAAAGGATATGCCACTCACAACAAATGGCCAGGTGCCGGGTGATTCTCCCACAAAATCAGCCATTTTCTTGGATGAGATTGGGAAAGGCTCGCTTTAGGCTCCCTAGCCAAGGCAGCGTTGATCTGAGGGAAACTTCAGCTAATCATATTCATGGTTAACTGTTCTGTCGAGATTTTGGCTGCACTAACTTTCTGTGACATTTCTAATACCGACTCTGTGAAGATTGTGGGGGTGTGGGGGTGTGTGAACATATTCCAAACTGTATTCTTATAAAGGTTGCATTGCAAACGAATATTTAACTGACACTAAGTACTTAATCATTGGGGGGAAAGGTGCAATTTTATTTCAACTTCTTCAAGCACATTTCCAATTATCAACTGAGACTAATCAGCTGGAAATAAAAACCGTCTTCGATGAACAGTAGGTTTGGAAGCCCAGGAGGTGGAGAACGTAGTGTCAGATTTGGTTCTGCAGGAGAGACCTTCGAGGTCGTGGGGGCTGGTAGAGACAAACATGAGCTTCCTCTAGAGTTTCGGGGTGGGGGAAGGGGGAAAGGAAGTGAGAAAGGGGAGGCCCTTGAAAGAGAAAGGACAGATGAGGTATTGAAAAACATCTCTTCATGCCCGGGATGCTTGGTTTTAGGTAAAAGCTCGCTTGCTAAAGATGGGGCATCTTAACTCAATGAACATATTTCTTCGACAAGAAATTGACAGAATGCAGAAAGTCATCACCATCCTTCGCAATAGCCTGAGCGATCTAAAACTGGCCATCGAAGGGACCATCATTATGAGTGAGGTGAGCGGCGCGGTGGCAGCAGAGGGGCTCCTCTTTTGTTGATTTCTCTTGCTCGCGTGTTTTGACTTCTCTTTCTCTCTGTTTGCCTTCAGAACTTGAGAGACGCCCTGGACAATATGTATGATGCCCGTATTCCTCAGATCTGGAAAAGAGTGTCCTGGGATTCGTCCACCCTGGGTTTCTGGTTCACTGAGCTTTTGGAAAGAAATGCCCAGTTTTCCACGTGGATATTCGAAGGGCGGCCTAATGTGTTTTGGATGACTGGCTTCTTTAACCCCCAAGGTAGGTGCTCGCGGGAGAATGGAAAAGCTGGACTCCGGGTAGTTGAGAAGCAGCCTGGGAATTGGATGGGCGTGGACTAAGGAAAGCACCAGGAGGGGACAGCTTGCTCACTGCTAGAGTAGCCATTCAGAGGTGGTGGGGCCCAGACAGTCCTCTATATATGTTTTACAAGTTAAATCTGAAACAAACAAACAAATTAAATCTGAAGTTCTTCAAAATTGCAGCAAAACCTTCCCTGCATCTGCTCACCCACTTCGGCAAGCCACCAGTGTGTGGTTAGGGGAGATGAGATAGGACAAGGCATTTCTCTTAAACCCTCCTTTTTAAATGTCCAACACAATTCCAAGTGTTCAGAAATGGTCCCTAGAGTTCACAAAATTACACTGTTTTAGACTTATCTTTTTAAAATGAGGGTGTGACATACTGGTTTTTAAATGTCTGAGGAAATGCCAGGGATTCAGAAATTGTTACTAGAGATCACAAAATTAGACTTACTATTATTTGGACCTATTTTTCTTAATGGTCCAGTGGCAAACATTGTTATTTGAGAATTGGTTTTTCTTTTTGTTTTTTAATGATTGGGTGGTAAATGTTGTTATTTGGTGAGCTTTCGGAGGGGGGGAGGGTTCTCTTTTCACTTTTGTTCTTTCTTACTTTTTTTGAAAGAGTGCTTGGTGAATTCTAGACATTCTTACTGAGAGAGTTTCCTAAGACCCAGAAACACAACCTTTGGCGTTACTCAGACTTAGACTCTCAGGCTTTCTCCTGAGCAGCTAGCTGCTGGTGGTTTTGAACTGCCAACCATGCAGATCACAGCCTAACTTGTAACCACTATACCACCAGGCCTCCTGTCCTACTGGCTTGCTAAGAGTCAGAATTGACTCCATGGCAGTGAGACAATGTACCATATATACTCGAGTATAAGCCGACCTGAATATCAGCCTAGGCACTTAATTTAAAAAAAA